AAAAAATATTTATTTATTTATGCATATAGAACTGGGGTATGGGCTAGAGGTATGGGGCAGTGAGAGGATTCACCAGGGACAGAGTGGGGAGCAGAGCAGCTGGATCTACTGAAATACACTGCTGAGGGGAGCAGTGGGCAAGATAGGAGAGGTCTGGTGCACCATGTGGGCTACCTGGCCGAAGATTGAACTGGTAATGAAGCAGCTTTAGCTTCCTAGTGCTGTGCTTCAGCACATTACTCTCCCACCAGGGAGAGCCAGCCAAGGGCAGTTTGACTGAAAACCAATGAACCCCAAGACAGGTAATCTATAATAAAGACTTGATCAGTAACTTCTGCAATCCTATCTCCCCTCTCTTTTGTTTTTTAATTACCCCTTAAATAAACACCAAAGAGACACAATTTGGGCTAATACCTGAGATTTTTGCTCCCTGATTTACAAATCCAAGATAGCAAATAATCATTATTGTGTTATTCATTATTGTTTCAACAAAGCACTGTGGTCTCAAACTTCAGTGTACATAAGATTCATCTGGAGGGCTTTTTTTTAAAGTTTATTTTTACATCATTTTGTACATTTTTTTTTTTTGCCATCTCAATTGTAATCCCCGCGGGTTTCCCATCACCAAGTCACCTGTGTGCCATCACCATAATCCCGAGCACTTCCCTCCCCCCACCCCAACCCCCGTTTTCTATCCCATTCCCCACTCCACCCCATCTGGAGGGCTTTTTAAAAATTCAAATCCCCATTCTCTACCTTCTGAGATTCTAATTCAGTTGGTTTGACTTAAAGCTAAAAGCTGAGTTGTTTGGGAAGCACTTCAGATGCCTGAGTTAGGAGAGACTCATTGGTTAAATAGAAGCATAGTTTCCAGGGGTCAGAAGTCTGGGTGAAGATCTTTCTTGGCTTGGCTATTAATCTGCTATAAACTCTTGGATAAATTATTGAGTGCCTCTTGTTTTCTTCCTCTGTCTTGTTTCTTGTGAGGACTAACTAAGATAATTCAAACATTTATTGATGCTAAAAATGTTACTAATTAATTATGTATTAATATTTATTTAATTTGTATATGATTGTGTAGTAAGTATGATAGTTACTACTGTAACAGTAATTATAAGTAACATTTTAAACATTATTATTAGCATTCAAAGCAAGCCCTATGTTAGTCCTTAAGAATACATTCTTTAGACCGTTCCTGGTGGTGCAAAGGGTTAAAATGCAGCACTACTAGACGCTATCTGTCTGTCAGTCATTGCAGCATGAGTTTGGTCCCATGATCCGGTGGCTTTGCAGACCCCTTCTGACTGCCTGCTGCTCCCCTCATCAGTGTATTTCACTTGATCTGCCTGTTCTGCTCCCTACTCTGTTACTGGTGAACCTCTCTCACACACCCCCATTTCTGGCCTGTAACCCCAGTATGCATAAATAAATAAATATTTTTTTAAACATACATACTCAAAAGAAAGAAATAGCCTCTCGTGATAACATAAGACTTTTTAAAAAAAAGATTTTATTTATTTATGCATGCAGAAATGGGGTCTGTTCCTCCATGTACGTCAGCTCCCTGGCCAGGGATTGAACTCAGAGCTGCAGTGGCTGCGGATAGCTTCATATTGCTGAGATTGAACCCCTTGTACCAGCAGGAAAGCTCTAGCAGAGAGACATGTAAAGAAACTGGGTTTACTGCTTGGTTCTGGACTGGTTGAAACAGATGTGGGTGAGAGACCTGTGGGGAGGTTAACAATGGCATATTTATCTTGCTTTTGCTCCTTCTGTCCCAGATGTGCCTGAGCCCCCTCTGTCCCTTTTCTTTGTGTTCCTACCAGAAGGTTCCTTAGACTTGTGGCCCTGCTTTGGACTAACCTTGTTTGGCTGGACATTTATCCATGAGGGAATGGGTAACTTCGGGTGCTTGACTTGAATACTATATTCTTTTCCTTCTGTGTTGCACACTAATTGTATTAAAGTTCCGTTTCAGGGCCCTCCCTCGTGGTGTGATGGGTTAAAGCACAGTACTATGAAGCTATCCCTAGTCACTGTAGCACAAGTTCAATCCCCGGCCAGGGAGGTGACCCACGTGGTGTGGCAGACCTCTCCTGACCCGCCTGCTACTCCCCTCAGCAGTGTATTTTGGTCATTCTGCCTGTTCTGCTCTCCACTCTGTCTCTCACCCCTCACACCTCTGGCCCATATCCCAGTTCTGTATGTATAAATAAATAAATCTTTTAAAATAAGTTCCTTTTCATTGAAGGTCTTACGCACTAGAGTATGTTTTATCTTGATGTGGTGGGTGGCAGAACCTATTTAGAAAGGGCAGGTTTGGGGGAATCTAGGGTGCCCCTCAATCTGACCTGTAACAATTCTTAAACATTTCCTTTCAAAAATAATAACCTACTTAATATTTTCAATTAGGAAATAAGATTTAAAAAATGATTTTTTTCCTATACTCTGAAACTTCTGACACCAAATGTGTCATTTTTCTACCTTTAGCAATTTTTCAGTTCTTGGCAAGACCCACTGGGTATCCTACAGTTTAACTCATCTTTTACTCAAAGAGTCCTGGACTAGCATGAAACCTACTGGGCAAGTCTGTGAAAATGTCCTCTCCCTACACTTCAGATGTCCATCGCCAGCCCACATGGTTGGTTACCTGCATTTTGGACCTCCTGACTGGGCATTGGAGCTTCTTGTGATCCCCTCCTCAGCTTCAGTGATTTGCTAGAATGGCTC